TTCTGTCACATTAGGGTGAATAAAACCCCCCAGTGTGCCCCACAGAATGGGCCCCTCTAATCTGGACCAGCATAGAAACAGGGTAATGACCAAGTACAGAAACAGTTGTTGAAATGCAAATAAATGGACATAAGTCAGTCTCAAAGCAGCTACATAGTCTCAGAAATCTATGGCTGCATTTCAAACACATTTCTCCTATTATAAATTTTGGTCAAGTGCCAAGCAAAGACCAAGACACATTGAGTCCTGAACAGCGTGAGCTGGATGGAAGACAGATGTTGGACAGATTGCATTGTACACTCTGAACTTTGGGTGCTCAAAAAACAGGCTTCCTGTGGATTCTGACCTGCATGGACCAGCAGATACACGTGTTCATGGCTATGCTGCCATCGTTACTTCAGAGCAGTTCCAAACAGCTCATCTCTGTAGTCTGGTCCTGCCTGCTTTGAGGTAGCTAACATGCATGAACCACTAGATCCCATTTCATCCTTATAGCTCTTATATCCTAATAGACTCTTGGCCAGCTAGATTTAAATTGAAATATGGATAAAAAGTAGGTTATTCTGGTAACACTTTACTTAAAGCAGTCATTATATTGCATTATACATACCTTCATAATGCACAATAACGCATTCTTAAAGTATTATAAGCATGGTTATAACTATTTATAAAAGGCATAATACATTGTAGCCATGTTTATTATGCATTATGAATGCTCTATGAAGCTCTCATCCGCAATGCACTATAAATACCTACATAATGCAGTACAAAGCATTCTTAATTCTTATACCAACCATTATAATGCATTCTGAAGGTTTCTATAGTGGAGAGTATATTTACAATCGTGTTTATAATACTTTATGAATGCTTCATAATGCATTATGAAGGTATGCATAATGCATTTATATGACTGCTTTAAGTAAACCATTATTCTTTCTAACTTGGTATTTTGGCATACCTAAAAGCCTCAGCTGCAGTCTCAGCTCCATGATAAGCTGGTAACAGTGATGGCCCAAAAGCATTTCATTTCAGTTTTCTGGGCTTCTGCCTAATTAGGCTGCCCAGGATCAACACTTGAAGTTGCATGTCAATACTTGCATAGAGGGCTGGGTTTCTCATTCCAGCTTCTGGGCCCTTTCTGCCTAACAGCAGGCAACATGAAGAATGGGAACATGGAGTCTTAGGAAGACAAGAGGGAAAAGACTAAAGAGAGGATATATGTAAGTCAGACAGCAGCACCCCTGAAGGTATTTGGAATTTCCTTCGGGATCAATAAAGTACTACTACTACTATTGGCCCTGAGATTAATCTCCTTCCTCTCCTTCCTCTGTGTTCCCCTAAACCCCTGGGTAGGCACCTCAACTGGAGCTACATCTAGTGGATGCAGCTCGACCAGCAATGGGTAGGAGATGGGAATCGGAAGAAGAGGGTAGGACGTTTCGGAGGTGGTTAGAAATGGAACCCACAAGAATAATGCTCTGCAGCCATGATCCTCCATAGCTCTTGTGCCACAAACATCATCCATTCACTGGTTTCCTGTAGCTTTCAGGATTGATTTCTTGAGTTCTTTTGTTAATTTTTCAATGTTTACAAGGTCTTGCTCTGCCTTACCTCAGTGAAATGATTGTAAAGTATGTCGCAGACAGATCTCTCAGATCATCCGACAGTAATCTACTGGTTATTCCTAAAACGCAGCTGAGGAGGGAGGGGTCAGCTTTTAGCCACGGTCCCAAACTCTGTAACTCCCTCCCAGGAAACCTGAGAGCTACTGAATGCCTTAGTATTTTCAAAAACCAGGCTAAAACACATCTTTCCACATTGCGCTTAATAAGCTATGATAATCAGTTATTTCATTTGTTTCACGCACGTATTTTATTTCTTTTGTGCTGATTTTGATTTCTTGTGTTTTCTTCTAGTGTCTTTCCTCTTTTAAAAAGCATATTGTAAACCTTATAGCTAAAAGTGCTATATAAATAAAGATTGATTGGATTATTGGTCCAGAATACGATGCCCAGAATCCCAAGCGGTGCGACTCAGCACAGTTCCTTAATTCAGTCCGCAGCACCATACATTTTCTGCTTTTCACAGGTCGAATCAAATAGCCTTGGCCACCTTACACGGTGTCAGGTTCTGTTTGTAGTAAATCAATGGGGGTTTTTTTGTACACGGAACCTTTTACTCCACACACAGCACTAACCCAGAAATCCCTGCTTATGTGCAGCATTTTTCGGTTCTTTGTAACTCAAGTGGCACTCAGCCTAGGGAGTTATTATGCAGATGTAGCACTAAAGTGGGATTACAGGGTTTGATTTAATCTCTAAATGCTACAATTACAAGCCCCCCCCCCCGACACACTCACAAGAGGCCCAGAGTTTAACCTTACACAAGATCTGATTCCATGATTCCTTTCCTGTTACCCATGTCTGTCTGACGCTTCTCCCCACAAAGCAACTGACCTCTGCTCCTTTGACCTCATCCTGATGGACATTGCTTTCCTCCAAATTACGGTGTTACAAAGGTACAAAGGCTGAAGGTCCAGCTGAGAGCTCTTCAATCTTAGCCCATGGAACCGCAAGCCCTTGGTTCATCAAGACTGAGATCTGTTGTTGATTTCAAGCTGCTAGCGCTGTATCGACAGTAGCTTTTTAATTCTTTTCAATTTTGATCCTGTGGGGAGTTACTGAATTCTTATGAGCCCGAATGGCAGGAGGAAAAAACAATGTTGTTCCAAAGGATGCAATCTTCTGCGAGATGCAGTTCTGATTGTCTCTGATAAGGCCTCAGAAAGTGTTACCACAGCATCTCCACCATCTCCAGCCCCACAGAATGAAATCTCTGCCACATGCCTTCACACGTCATTATCACAACATACTCACGTCACAGCACAGAAGATTCAGCCCTGACCATGAGTCCAGAGATTAAAATCAGCCTATGGAAGTCGCCACCACAGTCACAGCACAGCTAGCATTACTACAGCACTTTGTCAGCAAATAAACACAGAAAAATACATTTGTAATGGTTCTTGCAATGGTTATGGACATTTTTAGTTGTTCCTCAGGAAACCCAGTGCCTATATGGATGAATAGGCGTGATTCACACACTGGTCTGATGCGCTGTCTTGCAAGAAATGTCAATTCTGCCAAAGCCTGAATCGAAACGGCATGACTGTACTCCAAGCTAGATCTGCGGAAAGTTCATGCAGCCGGAAAACGTCACAACTCCCACTCAACACAGGATGGAGCGTGGCACGGACAAGACGGGTACCCTCTGTGGGAGGGTATAGATTAAAACAGTCCCCCCCACCCAAAGAAACTGGGCAGCCCCTCTGAATTTGCATGAAGATGACTAGGGATCTCCATGACAGAAAGTCACTGGCCACCAGGGGTTAGTTATGAACACATCTCCACCTTCTTCTAGATCTCGACCTTCTTGCCATTGCTTTTACAGTATGGAAAAATGCTTCAACCTTGCCATAACGAAGTCGAGTACTTGACAGCAATAATACGAACGGCTAAAGGGTCTCTGATTTTTCTCTAAACACCAAGCAGCAGTTGAAGTACCCAATATTGATTTCAAAAATGACATTTTACGGCTTCAGTCAGCTTCATTCAGCTCTGGATAGTGAAGCGCCGCATCCCGGCTAGACAGGAAAAGCACGCCTTGTGCAAACATGAAAAAAGACAAAGCACGCTTTGACCCTAAAAGACCCACACTTCAGGACCGTGTTTGCACCCCAGAAAGGAATTAGGGGCTGGATGCCCCCACCCTAACACGACCACACACACATTTTTGATTGACTCCCTCTGTGACCCCAGGGGCAGGGGTGAGCCTCTTCCGTTCTTTGTGGGTCTCTCACACCAGGAAAGACAAGTGCAGCAGAACAAAACTCTTGCCATTGTCTTGCCATCGGCCGGGTCGGATCCCACTGTGGTCAGGTAAGGGTTAACAGCAGGGTAAACATCAACAAATGTATGATGTAGCATCCAGTTTAGACAGTTTCTTTTAAGAATTTATTAAAGAAATTGGTACTGGAGCCCCAGATTGGATGCTCTTTCCAGAGCAAAAGAGATATGAAAATTGAAAGCTAAGCTAATTTGATACTTAAGGACTATTGGCAGATGACTATATGAATCTGTCTCTCCATTTTTCTTTCTGCCTCTCGTGAGCAAGAGGCCCCAGGAAGTATAAAGTTACAAAAGGCATAAAACGGACTCCTTTGGGCCGAGGGTTAGCGAGATGGGGGGGTGGGGTGGGGGGGTGTATAGCTCTGCTGGCATTCTACAATGCCTCGTACCGGTCAACCACCCTGTGTCAGGATCTGTTCTCAGAGACAAGCAGGAAGGGAAGATTTTTGGGAGAGCATTATATCTGTTTCATGCTCTCTGATCTCATCGGAGTTTGTGGAGGCGCCTGTGGGGGGGGGGGGGGGGGGGGGGGGG